GTTTTTATGTCAGACAAAGGCAGATTTTAGATAATTGCGTTCATAAACTATTTGTAATGGTTGTTAGGAGAGGGTTGTAGACAGAAAAGGAAACATCAATCCCAGATAAGACTTGATAGCATCTCTAGGATATGGGATACTGTTAAGGTGGAGATAATGATTCTTAAACTTGACTGCACATCAAAATCTCCCAGGGAACTTTAAAAAGAAACCGCCAGTACCAGCACCCTCCTCCGGAGATTCTGATTTATTGCGAGGATGGGCAGACAGTGCTATATTTATACGCTCACTGGGTGATTCTAGCATGCTGCCAGCCTGGATATCCCCTGGTTTGAGAACACTACTGAGCACATTGCCAGGCAGATGAAAGTTTTAACTTCAGAACACTAATCCATAACCTGTCTTCTTACAACATAAGTTAGAAAAAGAAATTCGATCGAAAACCCAAACACAGATTAACTGGCAAAAATTGTTGTTTACAGAATGACTTCAAAACATACTCAGACCCATAAATCCTATTCTCCTCTCCAGACATTTTAACAACTGTGGTGCTTGAAGTCTGACATGAGCCGCTTCCTGCCTGTGAGCCCAGCCAGTCAGAAGCACCTGTGTGCAAGCACAGAGCGATAGAGGAGAAAAGAAACACTCAGTCCCACCCCCACTGCCCTGCTTCTCAGTGTGAGTGTCTGAGCATTTTCCTAGGAATCCTTGGAGAGCCCCAAAGGATATCGGAGAACTTCTCTGTTCTTAACACCCACTTCCTATTGAAGAACAAACTTGGACATTTTCAAAGTCAGGATTATTCCTTATGTCTTATAGATTTTATCTAGAATTGTACAAAAGACGGAAAGACCCTCAAAGCCTTCCTTTCGTGCAGTGCCCAAAAAGAGGATTCGCCAGAGTAAGACCCATGTTGGAGTATGTCAGTGAGGAATAAGGATGACACTGGGGAGTGGACTGGAAAAGCCAGGCCACTTTCCGCCTGATAGGCAGCCAATCCTGTCCCTAGAGTGGGGTGCTCTGGAGTGTTAACAACAGAGAAAACTGTATTACTATTTTCTCATCAAATGTATTTTAAACCTTGTCACAAAGCCAGTTGGAAAGACAAAATTAAATAATGCAACAACAGAACTATTCCTACAAAGGTGCCTAAAATTGAATTTTAACGATGCTCATGAACTAGGATCAAATCGCCATCCTTTGTAACTGCTCACCAGCCCTCTAGATCCCCAGGTCCCAGGAAAATTCCCCCACTTGCTCTACCTGAGATACATATGACATTGTTACTGGCTGAAGATGAGCTTTGATTTTACCCAAACTATTTAGGTGACTAATATCTTTTGCTTGGATGTAATTCTACCAAAAATAACCCATTTAGTTATGTCTGGTCTGAATACATTTATGGTATGTTTGGTGATGGAAGTTCCGACAGAGTGATCTATGGATTCAATGTAACTCCAGTCGGAATCTCAGAGGGTTTCTTTTTGGTGTGTGTGTGGGGAGATTAGAAATGAAAAAGCTAATTCTAAAATATATATATGGGAATGCAAACAATTTTTTAAAAGAAAATCAAAATTGGAGGCATTTTACTATCTGACTTCAACTTAGTGTAAGCCAGTATAAGAACTCATAGATTTAGCAAACAAAAATGGGAATGAAGGTAAGTTCATGAAACCATCTGGTGAATAATAATGAGATGCTTAGTTGTCTTTGTTCTTCTTAATCAGCTTTACTGAAGTTAATTTACATATTATAACAATTCACCGATTTGAAGTATACAAATAAATTAGTTGTGATAAATGTATACCTCATTTAACCAGCATTGGAAATATGATAGAGAACACTTCCATGACCTCACAAAGTGCTCTCACATCCTTTGCAGCCAACCCTACTCCTAGCCCACCCCTGGTCCCAAGGAACCATTGATATGCTTTCTGTCACTGTAGTTGTGCATTTCCTTGACTGTGCTACAATGTAAACAGACAGTATAGAGTCTTGCCTGTCTGGCTCCTTTCACTTAGTATGTGCATTTGAAATTCATCCACCATATTATGGCATCAGTGCTCTGTTCCTGGGTACTGCTGAGTGCTGTCCCATTGTAGGGATATACCATAATTTGTTTATCTATTCACCAGCTGATGGACATTTGGGTTGTTCCTAGTCCAGGGCTATTATAATAAAGGTGCTATAATCATTCAAGTCTTTGTGTAGAAATATGTGTCATTGCTTCAGGGTAAATACTTAAAAGTGAAATTGTGGTGTCCCACTCTTAATGTTTAACTTTAAACAAAACTACCAAACCGTGTTTCAAAGTGGCTATCTTGTTTTGCATTCTCAGCAGTAACGTGTGAGAGAGTTCCAGGTGCTCCACATTTTACCAAACGCTGGGTCTTTTCAGTTTCTTTAATTTTAAAAGAGCCATTTAATTTAGCCATTCTAGAAGTTACATATTGGTATCCTGTGGTGGTTTTAATTTGCATTTCCCTAATGACTAATGATGATGAACACCTTTTCATGTGCTTATTTCCTTTCATTCTTGCCTCTTTCCCAACTTAAACAGTAAAGTACTCAGTTTTTCACCATTAAGTATGAAGTTAGGCAAGGGCTAATTTGCTGAGAGTTTTTAATTATGAATGGGTGTTAAATTTTGCCAAATACTTTTTCTGCATATATTGAGATAATCATCTGGTTTTTCTTCTTTAATCTATTAATATGGTAAAATATATTTTGGTTTTCAAATGTTAAACCAATCTGTATTCCTAAAATTAAACCTACTTGTGCATGATTTATTTATTATCCCTTTCAAATCATTGCTGGACTTCATTTTCTAACGTTTGGTTAATGAATTTTGCATCTTTATTAATGAGGGATACAGGTCTGTTATTTTCTTTTCTTGTAATGCTTTTGTCTGATTTTGGTGTCATAAAATGATTACAACTCATAAAATGTGTTGGGAAGTATTCCTCCTTTATTTTCTGAAAGAATTTATATAGAACTGGATTCATTTCTTCCTTAAATGTTTGTAAGAATTCACCACTGAACACATCTGGACATGGAATTTTTTTAATTGGAAATATTTTAATAACAAGTATAATTTCTTTAATATGCATATGTATACACACACACACATATATATACAGTTATGCAGATTATATCTTTGTTCTTAAGTGAACTTTGTAAGTTGTATCTTTCAAAAGTATTTTTTATTTCATTAAGTTGCCAAATTTATTGGCAGAAAATTATTCATGATACTCCCTTATTATCCATTTAGTGTTTCTGTAGTATCTGTGCTGATGCACCCCCATTCTTGATATTGGTAAATTGTGTCTTCTTCCTTTTTTCTGATAGTTTGGCTTGAGGTCTATCAATATTATTGCTCTTAAAGAATCAGATCTTCATGTACTGACTTCTCTCTATTGTGGTTCTGTTTTCAATTTTTTTCAATTTCTTTTATTTTAATTCATCTTTATTTCCTTCTTTCTGCTTACTTTGAATGTAGTTTTCTCTTTTTGTATAGATTCTTAAGATAGAAACTTGGATCATTGATTTGAGATCTTTATTTTTTCAAATATAAATATTTAATTTCATAAATTTCAATCTAGCCACTACGTTAGTTACATCCTCAAAATTTCAATATATCATCATTTCATTTTTATTCTGTTCAAAATATTTCCTAACTTTTCTTATGATTTCTTCTTTGAATTACTTAGTAGTTCTAAATATTTGAAAATTTATATGATATCTTTCTAGTATTATTTTCTAGTTTAATTCTGTTTTGATCAGAAAGGGTATTTTGTATGATTTCAATCTTCTTAAATTTATTGAGACTTATTTTGAAGCCCAGAATATGCTCTATTTGGTAAATGTTCCTTGTGCACTTGAAAACACTGTGTATTCTTCTGGCTTAAGATGGAATGCACTATCAATATCAATTAGGTCAAGTTGGTTGATACTGTTATTCTAGTCTTCTATATACTAGCTGATTTTCCAGTTGTTCTATGAATTATTGACAGAGGAGTGTTGAGTTTGCTTATTTCTTCTTTCAGTTCTATCAGGTTTTTGTTTCTTTATTTTATGACTTTGGTGTATTGTGCTGGCCAGTAATTTTTGATTGAATGAGGAGAAGCATGAGTGTTGGGTGGTTGGGTGCTGGATTTTGTTGTATTCTTTTGAAGAACATTGGACTTTATTCTGGCACACAGATATATTACCTGGGATCAGTTTGATTCTCTCAGCTTTGCTTTAATCTGTACTACAGCAGGTCTAGGGCAGTCTTCATAAAAGAACTCATTTAGACCCTCTATTAACGTGAAACCTTTCTGAGGACTCTATCCAATGCTATGTAGCATGAAGTTCTTCCACATTGACTGGTAGCAGTACAAACTCTTCCCAGCTCTCCAGAGGTTCTTTTCTGCCCACAGGTACTTTCTTCTCAGACATGTGCAGATCAGCATCCAGCCAAACTTTAGGGGAAGCTTCTGCAGGTCCCCAGGGCTCTCTCTGAGCATCATCCTGCTCTCAGGTACCTCACGCCACTAATTTTCACCACAGTAGGCTCCCCAAACTCAAATCTCTGTCTCCTCAACTCAGCAAGCCTGCTGGTCTCTGGTTGTGCAAGACCTCCCTGTGCTGCAGCCTGGAAACTGCCTCCAGACAGTAAACTATGACATTCGTAGAAATCACTTCATGCGTCTCTTCTCTCAGGGACCACAGCCCTTTGATGCCTGTTGTCCAATGCCTGAAGACTGTTGTTTCATATGCTTTGTCTGTTTTTCTAGTATTTTCAAAGCAGAATGTAAATCTGCTCTCTCTTATTCCATCATAGTCAAAAACAGAAATTTGTCTCTGTTTAGAAATCAGTGAAACACTCCCAGATGTTATATAGTCATGCATCACTTAATGATGAGGATGTGTTCTGAGAAATGTGTTAGATGATTTGTCATTGTGCAAACATCACGGAGTGTACTTACACAAACCGATAGCCTGCTATACACCTAGGCTATATGGTACTAATCTTATGGAACCACAATTATATATGCAGTCCATAATTGACCAAAATGTTGTTATGCAGTGCATGACTGTACATCACAGATGCTTTTCGTACTGAGAATAAGTTAGTAGTCATCATGATGGAAGGATTTTTAAATAAAGTCCCAAATGAAGTATCTTTACCACCATAATGATGTATATTTTGGGCTGTAATTTATCTTGAGAAAGGAAGTGAAAATAAAAGCATCCCTGACATTCAGAAGCTGGCCTGGCACTCACGGGTAGGCCGTGGTATTCTCCTACTGAACATAATCTCACAGAATTCAAGCTTAGACAAGGTTACCCTGAGACCTTGATAAAATGGGACAAAACAAGGCTATTTCATAATTTTTTTTTAAGCACAGACAAATACAAGGTTACTGTGCCACCCACAAATACTAAACACCCTCTTCTTTTGGCCAAATTGAGTGAACGCTATGTCCTTACCAAGTACAGCTTTATCCTCATTCTATTCTCTCCTCACTGTATATAAGATTTATTAAGATACACAGTCATAGACTTGTGCACTCTTTCTGACATCCAATTTAAAGCAAATATTTGCTTTCTTATCCCCCTTGAAATCACCCACCCAAAGTCCAAGTTCTATAAAATGTTCTTTCTAACATCTTTTTATTGATACTCCCTGTGACTCCCCATGGCATGTGTTCTCCTTCACTGCAAAGAGCGATAAACTCAACTTGTGTAACTATAGGTGTATTCCTGGTAGTCTCTAGATGAACGGCATTGACAATCTGGATAAACCCAAAATTGATCTAATGTAGGACTTTCATACAATGAGTAAGCAAAAGAAGTTTTACCCATATATTCTTCTGTTCCAGTCAGAATTTTGGGGTTTTCAAAGTATCTGTAAATCCAAAAGTATCATGCTAGTTATTTCATTCCTTGTAACTTTAGATTCTTAAATAATATTAACTAGGCCCCTGGAAAAAGTAAGATTATTTAATAAAGCCTTTGAAATATTAACTGTATAATTCAGGATATTAATATGTTTAGAAAGATTATGTTTTTTAGTATCTACAGCCATTTATGGCTTATATTAAGAAATTAAATTAGAAGGTCCTTTAAAATAAGCTAGATAGATCAAGAAAGGTCAAAGAAATTTAGTTAGTGGTACTTTGTATCACTGGCTAAATTTAATTTTGTATTAAAAAATACACTATTTAGATCTAGCTGTTTCTTTAAAGAAGTTGTGCAGAAAGTAATTACTGAAATAATAATTACAAACTAACAAGTATGGTAACAAGGACAATAGGTATTATTATTTCAGGATCTACTTTTGCCAAGCATTTCATATATGTTATCCCTAGATCTGAGCGTCAGCTTGACAAATCACTATTAGAATCCTCATTTAAAAAACAAAAAAGGAAAGTAAGGTTTAGAATTTTAAAGTAAAGTGCCCAAGATCAAATTGCTAGTAAGTGCTACATGTTTTCAGTCAGATCAAACTTAGCTCAGTCTGATTTCTCATAACTTTGGCCTCTCAGCAATGCTGCTCTGCCTCTTCCCATGACTGCCGCAGATGAAGCAACAAGACATTTATATTTAAGTTATGGAGCAATACACAACAGTTTAACACAAGTATTAAAGCCTGCTGTTATCTAATAAAGATGCTCCAGATGAAATATACTATTTAGAAATAAGTAAACATCTAAAGAAAGGGAAAAGTAAGAAATATAAAGTTATGCATTAAAAAGGAAATGCAGGTTAAAAAAATAATGACTAAAATGGATCATACGACTTCTAGTTCAATGGTCATGTGAAAAACATGACTAGAAGAGATTATTTTGACAAAACAGATATTTGGTGCCTATTAAGGAGGCAAGGATGAAGAAAATTTCATTGGCAAAGAAAAATATAATCAATGAAAATGTGTTCATTGTATCGGTCAGATAAAAACAGAAATTTTAGATGAAGAAGAGTAATTGGAAGCAGGATGACTGAGTAATAATGTAAGAAATATTAAACTGTGCTTTCTAGGAGCACACTAGCTACTCTTGTTCTGGAAGGTGGAAACACTAAAGTCCTGTGTGTCATTGATAGAGAAAAACATGTACTTTGGCAATACCATCCTCCCTAACCAGTGGTATTTTGCTATATATAAAAGACAGAAAATTATACCCAAGAAAACAGTCTTTACATTTAGCAAAATTCACTGTATCCTCACAAGTTTGTTCTTTTTAATATACGCTCTCCTAATATGTCATCATTCTATCTTCCTACATTAAAATTCAATAGTTATAATTCTGACAGAGATAATTACTCCTGCCTACACCATCTACTGGCCTGACATAATCAATAGAAGAACAAATTATTCTATAGAAATAACTATGCCTCATTAATGCTTAAAACAACATTTGTTTTAGTCTATGACTTTGTTGTGTTTAATCACAAAATTTCTCTTTATGTAGCCAACATGTAGAAAATAATATAATGTAACATAAAGAGAACACTCATCCTTGAAGCAGCATGTGGTTTGACACTATTTTGCACAGTAGATCTCCAGGTTTTATTCGTCTGAAACTTTGTACCCTTTGATTAATACCTCTCCATTTCCCTCTTCCCCCAGCCCCTGGCAAGCACTGCTCTACTCTGTGCTTCTATGAGTATGACTATTTCAGATTCATCTTATAAGTAGTATCATGTAGCATTTGTCCTTCTGTGTCTGGCTTATTTCATTTAGCATAATGTCCTCCAAATTCATCCACGTCATCGCAAATCACAGGATTTCCTTCTTTTTAAGCCAAAATAAGTAAACTATGTGTATATATCACATTTTCTTTATCCACACATCTCAGTCACAGATAGACTGCTTCCATGTCTTGGCTATTGTGAACAATGCTGCAATGAACCAGGATTGCAGGTATCTCTTTGAGATCCTGATTTCAATTCCTCTGGATATATTCTCAGAAGTGGATCATACAGTTGTTCAAGTTTTAATTTTTGGAGGAACTTCCATGCCTTTTCCAAAGTGTCTGCACCAGTTTACATCCCCACCAGCAGTGCACAAGGGGCTCCCTTTCCTCTACACCCTCACCAACACTTATCTTTTTTTTTTTTTAACAATACCCATCCTAACTGGTGTGAGGGGTGGCTTCTCATCGTGGTTTTAGTTTGTATTTCTTGATGATTAGTGATGTAGAGCACGTTTTCATATACCTGTTGGCCATTTGTATGTCTTCTTCAGAAAAATATTTATTCAGGTCTTTCACCCATTTTTTTACTTGGGTGATTTGGTTGTTGAATTGTAGGAGTTGCATATATAATTTGGATTTATCAGATATGTGTTTGCAAATATTTTCTCCAATTCCATCGGTTGACTTTTCATTTTGTTGATGGTTTCCTCTGCTGTGCAGAAGCTTTCTAATTTGATGCAGCTCTAAGTGTCTATTTTTGCTTTTGTTGCCTGTGCTTTTGGTGTCATATCCAAAAAATCATTACCAAGACCAATGTCAAGATTTCCTCTGTTTTGTTCTAGTAGTTTTATAATTTTAGGACTTCAGACTGTATTTTATACTTAAAAATTTGCTCAGAGGGTAAATCTTATCTCAAGTGTTCTTATCAATAATAATAATAACAGTAATAAACAAAGAGGATGAGAGGGAACTCTTGGAGGTGATGGATATGTTTATGGCATAGATTGTGGTGATGGTTATCAAGTTGCATACACTAAATATGCACAGGCTTTTGTTTGTTAATTATGCCTCAATATAGTGGTTTTAAAAAAGTATGTAGTTTGTCAAATTATCAATTAACAAAAAGGTCATAAAAAGAATTAAGCTAATAAATCCTTCCTCAATATCCTTCTTCACTTCTCATTCCCACTTTTTTGGATCAAAAACTGTCTTTAAAGACTATAGGAAAATCAAAAAGTATATTTTTACACTAATTGTTAACAATCACATCAGTAGCAGAATTGGCATCACAATGCCCTACTGTTTTTGAGGCTGTGCAAGCATCTATCATGTATCTCTGGCTTCCTCGAAAGGAAATTTAATCCAAAAAGGATTATGTACAATAAGAATCAATAAAAGAAAGGCAACGTAAATATATCTTAAGGAAAAATTATCTTAGGCATCTCAAGTTCTGCTTTAGTTTTGCCAGGATATACTGAAACAAAATTGGCTTTAAGAGCTATGATTAAAATTATGAAAAATTCCAAGGATTAGAGATTACATTTTTGGATACTGAAAATCCTCTTTGAATAGTGATTCACAAGAGCCCAGAATCATGCTTTAAAAATAGAAAGCAGAAATGCCTGTTTCCATGGCTATAAACATTAACATTACTCAATATTAGTAAGGCCAGTAATTATTATCAGACTATAAACTACTTACCAATGAGAACTGTTTGCATTTTAAATGAGAATGAGAACTTTTAATATGCTAATTTTTTATAAACCATCTGTAAATATATTTGATGAAAAACACATGACAGCGATAAGGGTTTTGTTTGCTGTTGTTATTAAAGAATTTATAATTAATTGTTTTTTGTGATGATTCTGCAATATGGTAAAAATTACCTAAGATATTACACAACTTAAAATAATACAGGAAAACGATGAAGGAGCACACTTTGTCACAGGGATGGCTCATTAGTCATGTAAAAAAATTAATAAGGGGAAAAGTAGACAGAGGCAATGAAGATTTTTTAAAACATATTTGATTGACCGATCATACTTTGATACTATAACCTAACACTTTGGCCTTCCAGGAAAAAAAGAAATCCAGATTTTTTGGATTGTTATAGATGCGTATTTGTCATAAAAATAATCGCAAATAGTTTTTTTGAAATTAAGAAGCCACATTGAAGATAGAAAGTTGGGAGTTAAAGGCTTCTGGTATTTAAGAGTTCTATTAATTAAAAATCAAAGAGCATTCTACAGATCTGAACTTAAAAATACCCCATAGCTTGTCATCAATAGGAGAAAGTCTCTTCAAATATCTAATTAATATTATATCACTGACACTAATAATTGAGAGAAATCTCTGAATAAAACATCAAATTGTAGTTTGGGAGCAGTGTAACTACATAACATGACTTTTTCATATTAGGAACTCATATCTCACATGGAAATTCTGACAAGGGAATCTAAGGTTTATGGGATTTCAAGCTTATTTTGAAACCAGCAGTAAGGTGTCAAATGCTGTAAAATGCACTAAGGTAGAAATCAGGAGGTCTAGGTTATAATAATAATGCCACAGACTTTTAATCTTAGGCAAGTCACTTAATTAACATGAGATTTGGTTTTATCATTTGTAAAATGAGAGATTAGATTTCATGTTCTGGGAGTTGCTACATCAGTTAAATGTCTATAAACATGTTTCATAATTTAATAATAATCAAAACTATCAATTACGTTCTATAAAATGCCTATTTTTTGTCAAGGGACAAACCAGTCTCTTTGCATGCAATATCTCAGTCCTCGCAGCAGAGACAGCTGCATTTCAAGAGATTTGGAAGCAGAGGCTCAGGCGGTGGAGGACGGGGAGCAACTGGCCCAACGGCACACAACCATTAAGTGCCAGAGCTGGGATTCCAGCTGAAGTCTGACTTCCTGCCATTATCTTGATCGTCCACTCTGATTTTTATCCAACTAAGGACAGAATATTCAGTCATTCAAGCTGCATAACAAAGCTGAAAATAATTGTTCAACTATCACATAATGGCATTTAAAAAGCTTCTATTTGAGCCATAACCATCAATGATTCAATAAGCAAGATTTTATTACTTACAGCTGTTCCAAGGATATGAGTCCTTTAAACGTTTGCTTATCTAGTGCACGAATATCATTCTTGTACAGGTACCTGGAAAACATATAAAATCCTATTAAATTATACATTAGTATAGATATCACACATCCTAGATCAGGACTTTTTAAACTGCAGTGTGGACCTAAGAAGTTTTGGGATGTTAGTAAAGTTCCTAAAGATATATGGAAACTTGGATTTCATTTAAATAAGCTCAGTTGTCTGGGTAAGAGAGTTCCCAGGCACTCCTCAGCCTCGCAAAGGGATCTTTGATCCAAATAATAAGAATACCTGCCTTAGACTCTAAAACTTGGAGTGATTGTGGAAAACCAATGATTAACAAAGCCATGTGTACCGAATAGCAGCTTCTCTGAGAAAAAGAAAAGTTTGACTATAACAATTTTTTAAAATCCATTCTATCATACTGAATATACTGAGTGAGGAGTTGCATTTGCAAAGCTGGCAAGTATCACCATAGGACTCATCAGAAAGGGGATAAAACATATTAACAGATCCATAAGATGTACTTCAGTTCTCCCATGGCTGCTGCTGAACATCTACAGGAAAGGACACTGTAAACAGGTTTACAAGCACATGATATAACAAGTCTGACCAAAAGATTTGATGGAAACAGCTTATGTAACACATGAAGTTTTCTATGTCTGTTTTTCTTCAACGTAGGGTGGCAAAGTTATTTCATTTCAAAATCTCTACGGCTTTTGTGAATGTCATGAAGGTGAAACTCTGGATCTTTTCTACTTATGCCTCTGGGGCCTTGAGGTAACCAGAATTCCTGAACTTTCCATCAAGTTCTTTTGGGATGTGCCCTTGCATAGGCTACATTCACAGTTATTGTGAGTGCATCAGAATCACCCCATAGTTTGTTAAAAACATTGATTCCTGAGCACACCCAAAAACCTATTCAATCCACTTCTCTTGGGGTAAGGTCTAGGAAACTGCATGTTTAACAAGTTTCCCAGATGATTCTCATGCTGGCCATCTGCAGATGACTTAGAAACCATAGCAATCACAATTCCAGCTGTAAATGAAGGAAGGACTGCTCTCTAAACCTTGTTAGTGAAGCTTTGGAATTTCCAAACTACTTTCTCTTCCTGCAGATTAGAACTGCTGTAAGTTTCTCAGAGCAGTGGGGATTTACATCTAACTGAAGATCTTTTCCTCAGCATTATTTGGTACTATGGCAGATCCTGCTTTGACCAAAAGTCTCAAAAATATAGCTACATGTTAGGATGGCAAGAAAAAGAATTTTTTAGAACCACGTTTCTTCAAATAGGTTGTAAAGAGCATTGAGCTGTCATCTCAAAAACCACTGGTGGCTCTCAACTGTGGATATATGTGAATCAGCATATAGAAATGAGAGTCAATAGTATTTCTAAGACATTATTTTGAGCTCTACCTCAGGCCTTAGACTGACGTCTGAGACCCTGACTTCACAAACTCTGACTTAATAACGAGTCTGGCATGTGGTACGAGCATTGGGAGTCTTCAGAACTCCACAGGTGATAATAACATGCAGCAAAGCTGAGACCCTCTAGTCCAGGGGTACAAGCCAGGTAAAAGCACTTTGTAAATGTCCTCCAGGGGATTCAGGTACACCTCCCTGTAAGGAACCTCAGACCATTAGAATGTCAAGGAACCACATTACTTTTGGGGTATCGGCTTGAGGCACTAAAGAATTGGCCCAATTTCTATAGAGATGTGTGTCAAGACCTCAACAGGTTTTTTAAAAATTATTTTTATATTTAAACAATGATGAATTTTTTCCTAAAGATTAAACTAAATTATCAAATATTCATTGAGGGGTCTCAAAACTGAAAATTTCCCATAATATTTTGTCTCAAATATGCAGATTCATTTTAGACTCTTCTTTTATAGAAAATGATATAGAAAAAGTGACCAGATAATAGAGAAAAAAGAAGCAAATAGACCTTCCGCAGTTAAATCTGCACAGGTTGGTTAAATCAATATAACAGAACTTCAAGCTATACGGCGACTTATGTTAACACCAGTAAGAGAACTTCCAGTCTCCTGTGGTATAATGCTGACCACCTGAACTCGAATCTCTCCACGCATCCCTGAAAACCATACAGTTCAACGAAGAGGACAAAACAAATCAGTCAGAACACAACATATGCCACAACTATGAGAAAGAGAATATTGGTAACGTCATTTATGTTTAAGTGGAGGAAATGCTAAAACCAACAAAGTCAGCTCCAGAATCTACTGTGGATGGTCAGGAGAGGATTTCACAGACCAAGGGGCAGGAGGAGCCCGTGGAACAGGAAAACCTGAGAGTAGCATCCTGATGGAAACCAGTCTGTGCTCTGGGTGCTCAGAGCCCCAGTTCCTGGGGAATTGAAGGAAAGGACTGGGAAAGTGAATAGGAGGAGGCACCTTACATGGACGAGCTGTCTTGTGAAGGATTGGCATTAAAAGGAAAGAAGAGAGCAAGAAGCCAAAATTGAGGGTCCGACAGAATTAAGATCGTACCATAGAATCTAGACACATCAGAAAAGGCTGTATTTATTAAAGAACTTGTGCGTCACCATGTCAGCAGAAGGGTGTGATCTTGAATTAAGAAACAAAATAAACCATCCAAAGCCCTCTTCTCTACCCTCATATTTAGTCATCTGTTACTCAAATCAAATATTATATCTTTATAATATGCAATATAATAAGTAATATCTAAACTTGAGAAAAACTGAATAAACTAACCTTACTTATGAATATCAATGCAAAATTAATAAAAATATTAGCAAACTAAATTCACCATTTAATAGTTCTCAGCAATGTTATAATTCTCTTCTTAAATACTGAAAAAATCTACACTGATAGCTGGCTGTCTTTCCAGATGCTATGATAGAATGCCTGAAAACTGCAGAAGAATCAATGCCATAATTATTACAATTATGAGAATTTAGTAAGATTACAAAATATAAAATTGACATATAATATCAATGGCCTTTTTGTATACAAAATAAAACCAACTAAAGGATATAATAGAAAAGAATACTCCACATATATAGTAAAAAAAAAACACCAACTAGAAGTACTCAAACTTACATAAGAGGAATTAAAGCAAATGGAAAAACATCTTGGATAAGTGTCTCAAAACCAAAATATACCGTTTTCCCCAGTTAATATGTACATTTAATATGATCCCAATAAAAACAGCAACACATTTTTTATTTTTCGTAGAGGTTTATTGGTTGATTCTAAAGTTCATTTGGAAAAATAAACAAGCAGGAATAGCTAGATGCGCTCTAACAAAGAAGAGCAGAAGGAGACAAGCCATAACGCGTATTTAAAACACTCAATAAAGCCTCTATAATTAAACCAGTGTGCTGTTGGCACATGACATGAACAGTCCAATGGGGAAAAAAAGTACAAGGTCCAGCAGTAGAACTAACTACATATGTAAATTTAGTATATAATAAAGATTCATTTTTAAATAATTGGTATTGAGAAAATGTGAAGTCTTTTATTTAACGGGGTGGGGAAAAGCCTTTCTAACTATGACTCAAAATTCAGAAACAATACGAAAATGATAAATTTTAGAAAATAATCAAACTTTACATGACAAAAAATTGCATATCCAAGTCAAAAGAAGAAGGGAAAATATCAAGAACTAACATCACAGAATCAAAATTTGAGAAGAAAAACAAAAACGCAATTGTAAAATGGGCAAAAGCCATCATCAAACAGCATACATTTAAAAGATACAAAAATAACTCAAACATTTGAAAAGATATTAAACTACACTCATAATAAGAGCAATGGAAATTAAAACTATACCAAGACATCATTTCTAACCTATCAGCCTGAGGAAAAAAATCCTTAATCCTGTCAACATAATCTGTGGTTGAGATTCTTGGGAATAGGCACTGTCATGCATTGCTAGTGAGAATGAAAAATGGCACACTCTCAGGGAAAGGAATTTGGCAATATACAAAAAATTTACATATACATGGACCCTTTGACACAGTAATCTCATTTCTAGAGCTAAAGATAATCCTCTACAAATAAAAACAACATATGCACAAGATCATTTGATAATTTTCTAAAATAGTAAATTACTGAAAACTACTCAAATGTTTGTCAGTAGGATCTGACTGATAAACTATGATACAGTCACGCAATGGAGTACGACAAAGCCATAAAAAATGAGAAAAATGGATGTAATCAAGTCATCTCTGGGTATATTTTTAATGCATGTTAATAATTAACACGTTCAAATATATAACTAAATAAAAAATAAAATGCAAAGTTAGAATGGAATAAAAATAGAAAAGTAATAGAATTTACTGCATACAAAATTGATAATATAAAAAGAGAAAATATTAATTTCAAGAAAATTCGAGCAAAGTGCTCCAACTCTTCACACTCTAAATAGAATATTTTCTATGTGAAAAAATGAACATAAAAAGAAATTTTAAACTTAATATGTTTAATTTTAGTAGCTAGATGGTTATTTTAATTAAAAAAATATTTACTGTAAGATAAATTAGCACCAAGATTTTGAAGTACCAAGATATTGTGTACCAAGACAATCACTCTAAGAAAAATTGCATACAAATGTCGAAAAGAGAAAGTAAGAACAATCAGTCTTCAAGATCCTGATCTCAGTTTCTTTGGCTACACACCCCTCAGTGGGACAGCTGGATCATATGGTAGTTCTATTTTTAATTTTTTGAGATACTTCCCTACTGTTTTTTGTAGTGACTGTAATAATTTGCTGCTACTAAGTTTGAATTGAAAATATAAATATAAAGTCACAATTTAGAAAACCATTTCTTAATTCTGTCTACTGCAAGATCCTGCAGTTATTCACCTCCTACTCAAATAAGGACACCTGATATCCAGATCTTGCTTTCAAATGCTATTTTCTACTAGAGCAAATCAGGCTCTTTGAAGAAATTACTGCTTCCAGGTCTGGGGCAGCAAAAGCATATAACATACCATGCTTGACAGAAAGCAATAGAAGAAGTGCTCCAAGTTTAATGGGATCATGTCAAAAGAACAAAGGAGTTAGTTTG